GGGGCAGGCGGGAATCGAACTCATGCGGAAGTGGCTTTAGCTTCTTTGTGCTGTGCTTTAACCCGCTGCGCCACCAGGGAGGGCCTAAAGCAATTTTTATAATGCTATAGAATTAGAGATTATAGTTAACTATGATGATACCTAATAGAATTTTAATGTAATAGCTTTACCAATGTCTCTTTATTGGATGAGGACTAATTTTATTTACATGTTTACCAAATTCATCCAATTTTTTAGCTTTGCATTTCTCATTTTGTGCAAGTCATGCTTATTTACACTATATCTACCTATTTCTTATTCAAACAGCCACATATTTTTCTTAAGTTCACAATTATTAGAAGAACTTAGTTTCACTCAATATGGGCGATTTTTCTCTATCAGTGTTTGAGCCATTGCTGATCTTTGTTTTCCAAAGAAGTACATTATCATGAGTGTAACTGATGAACTTGTTCCCTATGTCCTGGAACTTTCTGCTCTCACATTAAGTATTGTCCCATAGCAAAACAAACTTTTGGCTTTACTATTATTTGCTATTTGAAAATAACTTTAGCAACAATTTTTCAGCTCTAATTTACTTTCTTTACCAAACTACCTAGTTGCAGCCCACTTATTTGATCCTCACCAAATCCAAGTATATATACTATGTCTCCCACTTAGGAGGCTGTAAAGACAAAAGTTTATTATGATTTCCTTCACTTTGCACAGATCCACTAATGTGGATCACAATCTAGTCAACAGGGACAGACTGTAGTTTCTGTAAATGGTTAAGTCATCTGAGGGTGGATATTCATCCCACAATATGTGTTCTTCCCTAAACAGATTCTTTAGTCTTTCTCTTTTAAAGAGACATCATATTAACATTGCACTATACAGGTTAACTCTATTTAAGTCTGGTCCTACTTATACTATGAATCCAAGAAAGAAAATCATATTCAAGGTCACCTTCGGCTTGGGTAAGAGAATTATTTTTTCAATTTATTTTCCTTTGTAAATTATTATTTTTTGGTAAATTATAGTCTCCCCCAATAGAATCTGTAGGAACAGAAAGGACTCATACTTCAATTTTTTCTTCCTCTCTCCTACAGCTCTCCCCACCTTTTGATTTTTTGCCTCTTTTTCAGGATCAATGATGCAAAAAAAAAAAAAGGAATTCTTCCCCATGCTTCAAAGAAGTCTACTTCACATAAATTGGTAAGGGATCTGGTGGATACTAGCTATATAGGGACTTCTCTTTCATGTGGAAAAAACAGGTTCCTTTCCCTCCCGCCTCACATATGAAGGCAGCTTAGTAGAATGCGTGTGGTGGAAGCTGCAGGCTGGGGAGGAGGAGCCAAAGGGGGCCGTGCGTGGTTCACCTTTCTCCTGGCCTACGTGGGCCTCTGCCCTCTGCGCTGGGCCACTGGGGAGTACACTAGAGGTAGTCCATTCTGAGCTGAACAAAGGGTGCTCATAGTACTCGTCATCCGAATTGGAAGGGTCATCATCAGGCACAGACACAGAGATGGAGGGGGCTAGGAGCCTGCACCTCTCCCAGCTGGCGGCAGGTTCGTGGCTGGGGAACCTGTGCACAGGACCCACTTGATCCTCAGCCCCTTCATCTACAACAGACACACAGGAAGAAACTGCAGGGAGAACTAGACAAGACATACACAAGATCAGACAAACAAGACAAACATCTAGACACAACGGTGCACAGAACAACAGTGGAGCGGGATGGAGGGAAATGAGCAAGACCAAGCTGATGGAGGATGGGAGACAGTGAGTGTTTCCTGCTTCAGTAGCCACTGAATAGAAACTATCCCTTAGGTGATCTTGCCATTGATCTAAATGAAGTCAATGCACTGACAACCCCACCGAAGTTATCTATACAGCCCCCGAAACAAGTCAGAATAACCATGGAAACGTTATTAAGAGAGAAACAAAGCATGAAAGAACCAATGCAATCTTTGAAAGAAATTTGCTCAAATAACAATTCTTCTCATGCTTCTATCAATACCTTTTTCTAAGATTAAAAAGAAGAAAGCTGTTACAAACTGATGCCTGTAAAATCATGGAGAAAATCATCCTGATTGAAGCACAAATATAATTCCCTAAGATCTTCATATTAGAGATGGCATTTGGTTAATTTAATTTTTAATTAATGACTTAAACCGTGAGGTTACTCAATCTCAATCCTGTTAAGAAAAATTAACACATTCCTTTTCTATCTGTCTTGCTAAGGAAGGAGCACGCTTGGTATCCATAGTTCTTTCTTTGCGTGCTAAGTTTTAGGGACATGTGTTGAGCACTGGCTAGTATATGCATGCCTGTGAATGTATATGATTTACAAAACAACACAGTAATATAAATGTGTTTCATTGTGTTCTGCTTCTCTTATGAAAGTTTAATGGAGCTACAGTAAGCCAGGAAATGCTGTAGAGCTGGTGTCAGACTCATCAAGACTTTATTCCATGCAGCTTCATAGACACAGTAACTCTTGCCTGTTTTTCTGTTTCAAACCCCTAAATTTTTCATGCAAAGGAACAGCTCTTTGCCCTGTCCTGCCTGATAGCTTAGCTGCAAAGTCTGAATTGTTCAAAAAATACTTCCTTAGATATATAAGTATAGGTTAATCTGCTTAATATTTGGATTTAAGAGCATTTCAGTGAATTTTAAGGAGGATAATGAGCAATATTTAGTTTCTGAGTGAGGCAGACACAATATCTCAGTCCTACATGAAAAGATATTTAATTTGCTAATTACAATTTACTCTTAATGAGAAATAATTTAAAATTTCACATCTTTCAATGGTAAGGCCAAAGACTACAGTATCTATGTTGGATATATATTTCATTTCTATCAAAATTTAAGCAGACCGAATTATAGCATTAATTTGAAGATGCACCATATTTTTAGGGCAATAACTTATTTTCAACAAGTTCTGAAAATAAGCCTGAAATACAAGGACACTAAAGTAACACCTTGTAGAGCGGATACTTTTAATCTTTTGAGCACATTCTTTCCCGATTGTTCCATAGGCATTGTTTCTGGATGGGTGCTCAGAACTTTCTCAGCAATGATGCTTATTATATCATGGGATAGCAGAAGCCTAAAATTACATATGATATTCTTAGATCAATTCAGCACGATTTCTCAGTTGAGCAGATAATTGGCTGAGATCTGGCCTACAACACAGCCTGAATCATAAGCCCCAGGCTTGTCACATGTCCCAGTCATTCATATTTCCTCCAGTGACTCGCTGAGGCTCTAAACTCCCACACACATGTAAATTACTTCTAAAACTTAAAATATGCAGAGCAGTCTGCATGGACAATCAATAAGGGAAAGTGGCATATTTGCTTCTCTGCTTTTTAACATTTTTTGGGGTGTAGAGCAGACAACAGTATGAAGCTAAAGCATTTAAAGTCAAAAACTGATATTTTAAAGACAAGAATGCTCCTTAGATGTTAATCTTTTGAAGATTTGTAGCCGCTTGTTGTCTCTTCTCTCTTAAAAGTGCCAAAATATGAAGCAGCCTAGAGTCGTATTTCAGAGCAGCAATATTTCAAACACACATTGTTTTCTATTCAGAAAACTTTGTAACTAGGAGAACAACAAGAATTTAAGAGTTGCAATGGAAAAGTAGCTTCTCTGTAGCATTTCTCTGGCCCTGAGTCAAGTCTAGTCCTCTCTTGGTACTGTGAGCTATCTGAGCTCGCAGTCTCTATTTACTGCTGATGAACCTGAAGTCTCTCTACATTGTAGACAGCTGTCTACATTTTAAGTTGCAGAGAGGGGCCATGGAAGTGAAACTTAAGAGACCAGTGGCCAGGTAGGTACCACAATACAGTTGGTTCCAACAGTAAGGACAGAAGACAGAAGATCCTCATCTGCCATAAAACTGCATGGTGGGGATCTTGTCTGAAGTCCAATGGAGGTAGGATATATAATAACTATAAATAAATCATAAATAAACGGCACCTGTATTTTGGAGTGGTTTGAAAAATTAGGAAATTAGCTCACTCAGCAACTTGTAAACCTCTGTGTGTGGTCACTTCACTTTCATGGATCCACAGTGAGTGCCTGGGTATAAGACAGCTGTCAGGATGCAGGAGAGCTGGGGGCAGGGACTTAAGTTTGGATTTGGATTCTGCACACACCAATCATTAGTCATGGTATCCTGCACAAGATGTGCGAGCGGATATTCTCTATCCCAGCAGGATGCAGGGAGGGTTAAATGAAGAGTTAACTGAGAAAGCCAATCACATGTTCAGCTCTGCACATTAGCTTCTCTGTCTTCAGTAGTAGATGCAGACAAGTCACCACAAACCTTTCTTTCATTTGACACATCAAAGGTAGACTTGAGAGATTTATAAAAAAAAGTGAATTCATTTCCTGTTAGTTTTGCTATTTACTGCTGGCATTAAATTCCTCCTTTTACTACACATATGCATAGTTTTGGTAACATTGATTTGTCATAAAATCGTCTACTTATTTAATAATATATTTTAAACGACAGGATAACCTTGCAAACATTAAACTTTAACAAAGTTCTTTTATATTTTGATAATTGTCAAACATGAAACTTAAATGGTTTCAGTGAAAGAATAAATCAGTGAGTGACAGACTCTCCTGGAACAGTAGGCAAGAACTCAGGAGAGGCCTGAGGTGCCATTATGCTCGGCAGGGATCGAACTTAGGCTGTAGTAGTGATAGAACCTAACCCCTAGGCCACCAGGGGGCCCACAGCTCTTGCCCACCACTTAGGGTGAATGGAGCTGCAGGCTCCATTAAATTGCTCTCCACCGTCTCTATGTCCTTTCTATTTTGTAAGTTTTTGACTGAAGGTGCCACCATTTGCTCCCCAGGCTTGCCTGCCCACAATGACATGGAGGAAAGTCTGCTTTTCCATTAGCAAGTACAAAGTTGCCACATCACTGACAGCAGGTAACGCTGACTCAGAATTCTGGAGGAAACCTTAGAGGGCAGAGAGAGGACTCCTGGCTCAGAGGATTTCACTGCCCTTGGACGACCTTACAAATTCTAAGAGTTCAGTTCATGTAAAAAGTCTTGCAGTCAGGTTAAAAAGGAGGAGACTATTTTGAAAACATCATCTAGCACAGCACTAAGTTACAGTACCTGGTTTCCTTATCTGAGCATGCTACTATTTTAATTTTTTATCAAAGATCCCTTTGTTTCTCAGAATGAGCATGTATTCTGGGAATAATTGAATGTACACCAACTATAATAAATATTCATAAATCATAGTAATTTACATCTTCTGTTACTGTTAGTGGGAGACTTTGTGCAAGAACAGCTCTTAAAATGTCTGCTATTCAATAAAAAGCAAGCATGATTTCAAAGTCATTGAATTATTTGATTTAATCTAAGACCTCTTCTATTTAGCATAGAAGGACGGCACTGTGGCAGTTACTGTGCCTTTGGAATGAAGCTGCTTTAGAGGTTGTCAAGGAGATTAAACAATCTCCTAGATAAAAACACCTATGTGCGCCCTTTCCATCCAACCTGCTACTGGAAATGCATCAGGAATTCTGGTTGGGTCTAAACATAGCAACTGATTTGAAAAAAGGAAAATTGAATCTGATTTTGTTACTTGTCCCTAACTTATTTTTTGATAAAACAAAACTAGTTTTTTCAAAAAGGATTATTTTATGCAGAGTTAAAGAGAGATTTAAAATAGAGGGAATAGTTTGATATCTAGACAACATATCGTTCACAAATTTAAAATAAGATGATTACCTGATCTTCTAAGTAAAGTAGAATTTATAAAATATACACATTTTTACATAATTAAAAATTGTTTATTTTTAAATCAAATTATTTAACACTAGTACACTTCAATACTTTTTATGGGGAAAGAGTGGTCATTCAACAAAAATACAAATTAGGTCTGGAAAATATGAAGATTGAAATATCTTCAAATTGCTTTCCATATGAAGCTGCCTTTTTTCCTGAATATACTGAAATAGTTGGGGAAAGCAACCACAAAATCCAAGGAGAGAGGTCATCTGGAAGATGACACCCAAGTTAACAAGTGAAAGTGATGCTATACTGTATTTCTACTTCAGTATTTCCACTCTAGTCCACTCCATAAAGCAAACCAGACAGGGAGCCCCACTGCCCTCTCTGTTCCACCTCCTTTAGAGGAGTGAATTGCTTGACTTTCTCTGGGTTAAGAGGATTCTCCAACATTTGAAAGTCTTTAATGGGGGCTCAGAAATATTTTCAATGACCTGGGGGAAGTGCACCTGTAATGGAATGATTCCTACTGTATTCAGAGTGCAATCCAGCCAATGCTTCTTCTCAACCACCTTCACTGTTCAATCCCTTTCTCAAACCTCATTGGCCATGTTCACCTTCAGTTCCTCAAGTATGTTAGACTCAAACACTGATGTTAATGTCCCTTTACTGCATCTTTGCTTGGTGAGTTTAATTCTCCCATACCCATCCAATTAAATAAGACAACCCTTGTTCTACTCCAACTCCCAGTTCTTTTCTTTTCTCATGTTAACCCAATTTTAAATTATTTTTAAGTATATTTATTGGTTTCTGATCTCCACAGCACTGTGGACTCCTTAGAATCAGGGACCATGTCTGTTTTGTTCACTGACGAATACTCAGAATTTGAAGATTACCACAACATAGTAACTGCTCCATAATATTTGCTTAATGAATGGGTGAACAAAAGGTCAAATAGAATCTTTCAACTCTTATGAATTAAAAGATCAACTCATGTTTTGGGGGGAATTGAATAATCATAGGCTAGTATGACAGACTGTAGCTCCTTCCCCATTTTTTTTAATTCCTTAGAATAATTTAGGTTAATAATACTCAAAGCAGTAAATTGGAAAGGGCTGAACTTAAGAAAAACACCACTTAGAATGTGTGGGTTTATAATTCTGCAACAAAAATAATTTACATTTATTGATAGTTTATAGTTCAATAATTTAATAAAATCTGGAATTAGGACATTAAAGCCTATTTTAAATAAATCTTATTTTAAAGTCTAAAAAACAGTCTTTTGTGGTGGTATTTAATTTTTAACACTGATGAAGTGGTTTCTAAAAGTGGCATTCCAAAGAGAAATAAGTGAAGAAATAGGTAAGTAAAGTGGAATAGTATTAAAATTCCTATACATTTTTAGGTGAAAACTAAGTTATATTGCAACACCTGAGTTGATGCTCTCCTTTACCTTCTTTTATGACTCCCACCAAATAGATAAGTATTAACTGATCTAAGTCAGTGAACCAATACTTTAGATTCTGAATGAACATCCCTCAAAGGTATCCTTCTGAGAATTGAACAGCTGACATAACACTTCATGTTGAGTAAATTCATAAATAAATTCATGGAGAGTAACAGGTCACAGCAGGAAAGAAGCCATGATCTCAGCTTCCAGTTCACGGCTCTCAATATCCAATCCATTCATTAACTTCTCTATTCATTCACTCATATTTATGGAGTTTGCTATGGGCCAGACTCTGCAAAGACCTTGGCAAGCAAAATAGACAATTCCTGAAAAACTTTCAGAGGAAGTGTGGATTTCATCAATTATTTATGCCTGGTCTCTTCTAAGAAAGGATTGTAGCTTTGTCAAAATATTCTACATTAACTATGATTCTTTGTAGTTCTAGCTATTTTTAGCACAATTATCCTTTATTAAAAATGTTTTTCTTTATTTACCATAATCCTCTGCTTCTGATTTTATACAGCTACATGATTATACTTTTATTTACAATCTTTTGTTTATTTGAATCAGACAGTTCCAAATCTGGGTCACCTACAACCCCCTATTGAAGTTCAGGCCTTAGAGATCAAAGTTAATGTGTCCTTTAGCAGAAGACAAACCTTAAAAAGTCCGGTAGACCTTACCTTCTACTGCGATAGTCTTTTCTGAGGCTGGTGATGGGGGTGGAGAAGGAGGCAGATTAGCTGTCTCTTCAGCTGCTAAAGATCAAATAATGGGAAAATGAGATACAATAATTAATCCTATTATAGGCCAGTAGATATGTAGGCAGTTTGCCATCTGTAAAAAGGCTGCTCTATGAAATTAAGGAAAAGATTCAATAGCGAGTTGCTCCTGACTTATTTTTAGCCCCATTACCTGATTCACATATTTTTGAAAACCTAAAAGAAAGAAAAGCATTTAATGTTTTTTTTTTAAATTTTATCTTCTTCATAAAAAAGGATTAGAGATGATAGTAAAATTCTATCATTAACCCCCAAAATTTCTGTCAGTTTCTTTAATTAATAATATATTTCATTTTGGTCCTAACCTATTATATTCAAATACACAAGCATGTATTTCAGTTTGGATTTAATTTGGCTGACTTTTTAAAAACATTGAAAATTTCTATGCTTTAAGTTTTGATCTGGAGACAAATGTTACTTGATCATTCAGTTATTTTAGGTGACAGATTTTAGAATATATTTTCCACTAGCTTTATAACAGAATCCATCTCTACTTTTGGGGGGGGGGCAGGACAAAAATAAAGCTGTTAACATCTGAGGTAACCTTTATGCAGAAATCATGAATTAGTGGTAGCTGGTTTTCTTCTTTTGGCCTTAGCTTACACATGACAGCGCGTAAGAGAAAGGCCCTAAGTCAGCCATAAACAGAACAACTCTAAGTTTTCCTCCTTGTAACACTTACCTTCTTTATGACCACTCATATGAAGGTAAGGGATTTCAAAAGTAAGTATGTATCTGTTAACCAGTAGTACCATCCATTTTAAAGATTAGGTGAATTTCAGCTTCATAAAGCAATTAGTAGAGACAGTTTTGGGCCAGCAGATGCCTTTCCAGCTCCTTAACCTGCGGAATTCTACATAGTTTATTATAAGGTTTCAAGTTTTTAAAATGGGGCTTTTTATTTCAAAGAATAGAGGTGAACCAAGAGGATAATGTTTAAGATAAATTCCCCATTCTGCTTCTAATCTAAGAGAAATATAAACCTTGATAGTAAATATTTTATTGAAAGTAGTATTTTAGATAATTATTCTGGAAAAGCAGAACTTTTAACTGTTTGATTTTTAAGACACAATTGATTACTGATCAGAATATCAAATATATTAAGAAATTGTAAGAGAAAAATGGACATGTATTATATCTACACTTTAAAAATCATATCTTTCTATTGATTAATTACATGTGAGTATGAAGTAAACATAAATGCTAAACTTGTTTCTTTTCTTTATGTAAATAGACAACTTCATGCATCTACAGCTATCTATCTAGCATCTAGCATCTACTGGGAGAGTGTTTTGGAGGCAAGCACCATTCCGTTACCTGTTTGGCCCTGGAGGGCATTTTTCCCATGGCAGAGGGAAAATACACTGTTTTCTAGGTAACCTTAAATGAATCAAGGGAAGAGCATTACCTCATATGGAATACAAAGTCATTTATGATTGTAGGTTGTGAGTGGAGGTCATGATATCAATATATATTGTTTTATTTTTATAATAATCATCTCTAGTGGTCTGGAAAATTTAGGGACAAAGGCGAACTATAAGCTTATCACCCTGAAGACTATCCAAATAGCAGAGTCTATCGAGACAAGTGAAAATGGGCTAGTGCATTCCAATAAAGAATAGAGGTAATTGATGAATATTTTGTGTAAGGAAGAAATGCAAGATATGGCCTATCATTAAACATGAAAACTTGACCCTAGGGCCAAAGTGCAGCAGTTGCAGCTTCAGACCTGAGGCTTTGCATTTACCTAAAGGCACAGCTGCAGGCTGATCTTTATGTTGAGCTTCTTTCTCTTGTTCACCTTTCAGGACTGCTACAGCCTCAGCTGTGACTACTTGAACTATCCTTGCAGACACTTCCTCTGTAACAAACAGTAAGAAAAGAGAGTAAAATGATGAGATGTCTGATCAGGTGACAGCAGGGAAAAAAAATCATTGAACAATGCATTTAATTGTCTCCTCCCACCCCAAGTCCAAGAGAATTTATTAAATGAAAAAAAAAAAAAGACATGTATGTATTAACCAGAAAAGGAAAATGCATAAGGCCATTTGTTTTTAAAAAGCTGTTTCTACAAAAATAAGTTAATATTTTGTACCTGTAAGAAAAATTCAAAGAGCAGAGGATTCATTTTGGACTTAAAATGTTTTACAGTTTTCTTAAGGTTTTATGGGAAGATATTATTTTAAATAAATTTCTATGCTGATATGCAAAATACCATGATTTAAACCTAAACAAAATGCATTGTGCTCAAACAGAATTATCCAAAATCAAAGCGAACAAGACAGATTAAGAAAAATCTAGGAAGGCAAAATTTGAATGACATACAAGGAAATAATGGTCTCCTAAAGAGTTACTATTTTTATAAATACTTTAAACATCTTTAAGAACATATATACATACATAGACAAATCAATAATTTCAATTAAAGGAAAGGGGGTTTATTAAAATGAACGGCCTGCGAGATGCCAACTAACTAGCTTTTGATCTGAAATGGCATCCTTTGAACCACATTAATGCTTATTTTGTAAAATAATCAAGAAATGATGTTCTACATATCAACAACTGAAAAAGAAAGAAAGGTGCCTTTTGTGATTGAGTATATATTTTAAATTAGAAGTCAATTCTTCAGGTTTAACTTTTCACCATCTTTATATAAAAAGATCTACCACACTAGGAAGTAAGCCTACTTACAGCCTTAATAGAAACACATTGTACTGGAAGAAGGGGGTGGTGGTGGGATTTGTTCTCATAATTTTAGTTAAGATTTTAGAATAAATATTTCATTGAAATTTTATTATGGCTCATGACCAGAATTTGCACATTCATAAGCATATTCTGGGAGCTCTGCCTATTTTTACCTCGATGGTTCATTTAGATGCAGCCTCCAAAGGATGGCTTCCTCACCCTACCCCGGATGCTTAATTAAGAACAAGGTTTTGGGGGATGAGCAATCCACTTGGCCAGAATTTATCTGAATTTTAAAACTGAATTACCTGACTCTGTATATTTGCCTTTAGAAGTTTAACTTGAATTTTTTGAATAGTCACTTGACACTATAACCTATGTATATGTGCTTACCATCTGTGCTGGAAGCACTCTTACTAGAGTGAATAGAAGTGAGAGCAGCAGAAGCAATGTTTATAAAATTTTAGTGTTCAATACATGCCAGACACTTGGTTTAAGTGTTGATCCTCATCATTTTGATGAATGATTTACTATCATTACTCTCATTTGGCAGATGAAGAAATAGAAGGTTACATCAGAGAAGTAGACATTCTGAATGTAAGCAGCTTACTTGGAATATTGACTTTCAAAGGACTAGGATACTGTAATATGCTTCACTAAACTAAATGTGGTTTGATATTTGGGTCAGGAGAAGTCCGTGGCACCATGTGGATCACCTCCGGGGCTGGGGATTGAACTGACACTGAAGCGGGTGCCGCCAGCTTGCAGTGCTTTGTCCCAACCCACTGTACCACCAGGGAGGGCCTGATATTTCTATTAATGTTGGGAAGCTGGATTACTAATTCAAACTTTAAGTACCCAAAAAGAAAGTATTGATATGCTACTTAAATTATGAAAAACTTTCATTTCTAAGAAAATTTATCTCATATATTTAGATGTCAGACAATTTATTTCATATATTTAGATGTCAGACAATTTAAATCAAGCATATTTTACACAATACACTCTATCCTCTCAATTTAAATAAAATTATTTTTATGATTACAAAAATGCATGGAGTGATAATAATTTCAAAATAATGATACAATTCATCCTTACAAGGAAATTTTAATCTTCTACAATTTAATTCATAGAATCTCACAATTTTGGGACTATAAGGAGTTTTAGAGAAGATTTTATCTATATCGTCTCTTTTATAGTGAGCAAATAAAAGTTGAAAATGGCTACGAGATTATTCAAATTTACACAGCTGGTGAAGACTGAGATTATAACCCAGGTTTCCTGCCATGCAGCTCTTTCTTCTATGCAGAAGAACAAAAAGAACAGTGAGAAAAATAACCACAAAATTCCCTGACATGTTGTGTAAGTGACTAATGTAAAAAGATAAGATATTTTAAAGGCATGAACCAAGGAAGAAACACGCCCTTAGGTATGTTTGTTTACAAAAAAAAAAAAAAAATCACGGCTGCTCCTGATTATGTTTGAGATTATGCAGTCAGTGGTTGACCATGATGAGCAATAAATGTCTGTCTGTCTACCTGCCTTTTGATCCAATCATCTACCTATATATCTTGTAGATACTGTAACAGAAAATTTACTTTAAGGAGATACACTTTTCAGTTCTAAAGACAGTACAACTTTATTGTATGAGCATTTTAATTCCATTTTAGTGTGTGAAAAGAATTTTTCATAGTTATTCCAGGTAAACAAGTAACAGTAGTAGTCACCAAAACATTATAAGAAACATTAAGTGCTGTGGTAGTTACTGGAGAGGGCAGTAGAGGAGACTGTTTTCATGAAGCCATGCTTCTCAGTGGAATTCCTCTAAACATTCTGTGAAAAGTGGGCTCCTAAAATGACATTTTCAATGGGAAAGAAAACTACAGAAAGAGGTATTTTGAGAAAGCCTCCAGATGTGTACATTGCTTAATAACATTACGGACATAATTTTTTAGGTTTTGAGAATTGCCATTTGCACATGTTAGTTTTCAAAGATATTCAGACAATTAACAATTACAAGGTTGATTTTTAGTACTTTTATCACCCTGGTGATTTTTTTTTTTTAAAGATTTATTTATTCATACAGAACTGGGGTACAGGTCAGAGATGCGGTGGGTGAGAGGATTCACCAGAGACAGAGTGGGGAGCAG